TGTAAATTTTATTCAGAGTTTAAATGCACATCAGAGAATCCATCTCAAACTTTTTAAATCAAAAAGATCGAATCTTTGTATCATATACATTAAAGGAACTATCTTTTTACTTAAACTAGGCTTTAAGGCTCAATAAAACTAAATAAAACTCGATAAAAACTAGTTAAAAACAAGAATGAGTTTGGAAGAGATGAAACTCGCCTCAAAATACTACTAAAAATCCCAAGGATGCAAGAAAACAAGTTCTCCCTCGCCAAACACTGACGATCTCGCCCTCTTTTCGGTATTTACTTCACAAAGCTCTCAAAATTTATCAAAATATTATCTAGTTTTTTGAAGGGAGAGGGTGGCTGCTAGGGTTCAAAAATATAAAGTAAAAGAGAGATTTTTGTGAATTATATCCATATATATATTAACAAACCCAAACCAACTCAAACAAACCCGAATCCAACTCAAACTGGTAAAACAACCCGTCGGGGCAGAAGCTGTCTTCGGTATTTTAACTGTAAATTTTTTATCCGACCTCAGAATAAGGTGATTTAAGATGCATTGGAAATATATTGAAGAGACCTACAACTTTTTTTTAATCTTTTCAAGATTCAAATTTCATTGGTGTATATGCATACATATATACCAACATACCCGAAACCAAAGGAATAAACCTAATACCCACTACAATCATGATTAACACTTGTATACTCTCATATATACTCTTAATTGATCTCAAATCAATTACTATCATACTCATTCACCATTAAATGATATTCATCATAATAAAACTCATTATCACTATTAATCACAATATATTCAGATTTACGAGGTTTTTCATTATTTTGGTGGCTTTTCATGGTTATTTCATCGGTTCTTCATTGGTAATCTTAGATCATTCTTGTAATTGTTTTGAGTTTCTTTGAGGAGTTGGGATATTGTTTTGTTTGTAGTTTATGAAGGGTAGAAGGGAACTAGGGTTATAATCCTTTTCAACATAGTAGGCCTGTTTTGGTGGTCACGTAAGACTCGAGGTTTTTTTCTAAGGGTTTTTCCTTATTAAAATTACGTGTGCCTTTAGTGATTGTGTTTTACTTTTTTTTCCTCTTGTTTGAGAGCGGTTATCATTATCCTATTCCGTTATTTACAGTGAAACAAGTTGGGACGAAGTTGTTAATAATAGATTACCCAAGGAAATAGGCAAAAGATATTTCCATCCAAGATTTAATAGCTGGTCTATTCGCCCTCATCAATAAGCGCGCGATACTTTGAAGATTTGGATCTTTGGTCGGGCTACTAGCAGGTGCGTATCGCAGAAGGGGACTAGCAAAAGATGACCTGTATGACAAGCAAGGCGTTGTTAAGCCCTTTTTTGTTTGGTTATGCCTTTTGGACTCACCAATGCCCCTGCCACGTTCTGCACCCTCATAAATGAGCTATTCCACCTGAACTTATACGACTGGTGTTCATGGATCCATTTGTTATTATATACAAAAATATTAGAATCATTTTTTCTCGAGCCGTATGAGGAGAAAACCATGGATCCATTTGTTATTATATACAAAAATATTAGAATCATTTTTTCTCGAGCCGTATGAGGAGAAAACCTCCTATACGTTTCTAGGGGGTATTGTTTATCTACATCAAATTCGATAAATGTTGGTTGATCGTATATTTCATTATAGGTATATGATTCAGAGTACATTTCCTATTTGATCCCTTTGAATTCCATATTCGAAGTTGCGATCGGATCTATTGGAGTTATCATGTCATTAGTTTAGGATTAACCTTTTTAACCATAGTTATTTTTTCTGGAGCAGTATGGGCTAATGAGGCATGTGGATCTTATTGGAATTGGGACCCCAAGCAAACTTGGGCCTTTATTACTTGTACTATATTCGCGATTTATTCACATACTAGAACAAATCAAACTTTGCAAAGTACGAATTCGGCACCTTTAGCTTCTATAGGATTTCTTATAATTTGGATATGCTACTTTGGGATCAATCTATTAGGTGCACAATGTTCAAGGCTCTAGGCTGAGTAGCAAGAGCAACTTTTAATATGTTATGAGCCCAAATGATGGATTCAATGAGTTCTTGCCAATAACCACGACCGCTAAATAGAAACATTAAACTAAAAGCCCAGACAAAATGAGCACCTAAAAAAAGACCGTATGCAGATAATGAAGAACCATAAGACTGAATTACCTGATATGTCTATGCCCATAAGAAATCCAAGACCGTATGCAGATAATGAAGAACCATAAGACTGAATTACCTGATATGTCTATGCCCATAAGAAATCTTGAAGCCACCCATTAATAGTAATGTAACGAAGTAGAATAGAAGCAATTTCTATGTTTAACAAGAACTCCCATTTTTTACTAGAGATCCCTATTTGTCGGATTGAATTAGTTTAGTTATAATCGCGAACTTATAATAAACTCTTTAATTTTAATAAATTAATAAAAAAACTTCTTTTTCAAAAGATAGAAAGAATAAAAGAAAAATAGGATGGGATAATATAAATTTTATTCTCAGAGCATAACTATTGAAGGAGATTATTATTCCGCTTTGCATAATCTGATTCTTTTTCTCCTCAACATATATCTATTAGTAGCTCATTTAGAAGAAAAAAAAAAGATGAAGGAAAATCATCCATCTCCACTCCTATCGTGCTGATAGTATCCATATTTGCTCCGTACCCTCCCAAACCTCCCTATACAACTTTACGGCTCAAGATGCATCATGGTCCTAGGCTCCTAGTATATGAAACAAAGGCCATGCCATCATTTAGCTTTTCCCCGCCGTCGTACCAGCTTAAAAGGGAAAAAAATATCTCTGTCTATTCAATTTGGAATTTTCATTATCAGCTAGCTCCAACATATTATGATTTAGTCCTGTTAACCCAGGATTCTGTTCTAAATAAAAACCTTTCGCCTGTGGAATTAATTATCATTCTATTAAATTTTTAGCTGTAAATAGTTTCAAATTGAGCAAAAACCTCCTGAAATCTCGATTATTTGCTAAAGCATTGGACTTCAGTATCATATATCTGTTTGAAAGTAGTATGGCAATCATCATATAATAATTCCTGGGACCATGTTTCCATTGTTGCTAGTGTTTTCAGTCAATAAGATTAACAAAAGATTGAGACAATGAAACAGTTGACCTCTTTTATTAAGCTCTACGAAGGAAAACAACAAATAAAGAATGCTAGCTACAGTACTTTTTAGTTATACTAGAGATTCTGGGAAGCTGTACAGATAGAGACTAGGCATCGGCTCGGTAGACAGTATAGGCAAAATAACACTATCTTTTTAGTTCGTTTAGCGAGGTTGGACTGGGTCGCTATGAAGATTCTTAGAGTTGAAGGATGGATTTGTTGTTGAAGGCTTGCCCCGACGAATAGGTGGATGGAGCG